AATGGCGAGGTTTGTTAACTCTCCACCTTGAAAAGTGATGTTCTCGCCCTGCATCGAATATTTTCTCATGCCTAGTTCATCAGTGCTAATTTTTGGGTTTGCGTCCTAAAAGGTTCTTGTCCTGCAGTAGGGAGCCTTTGCTTTGTTGTTTGCAAAATCACAGATTTTATGTGTGATATCAAGTATCTAGAACAATGAAATAACTCCCAAGATGCTAAAATAACAGAGTTTAATCTTCAGTATCGAGCTTTATATCATTATTTTCCAATTTTATTATTATTTTTTTAAGCTTGAAGCTTTGATACTTTTATTTATGAGGATGTTGGTGGTTTCCTTCAACTTGTTAATGCTTTATATTTGTTGCATTTGTCTTTTAGGACAATTGGCTTATGGAAATCACTTTTAAGTTTATATGTTGGGTACTTAAGATTGGAGATTCTGGGATTTAACTCTCTCTTGTCATGATTAAAGCCTCTTAACAGGGATCATGGTTACCCATTGCGCGTAGTTGTCCCTGGTGTTATTGGTGCCCGTTCGGTCAAATGGCTAGATTCGATCAACATAATTGCAGATGCTTGCCAGGTTGGGAAAGGTTGCATTCTTATTTCAAATCAATGTTTATTTTCTTTCTTTTCTGTATGAACTAGTCTACTTTACTCCCTTATAGGGTTTCTTTATGCAAAAGGACTACAAAATGTTTCCACCATCAGTGGATTGGGATAATATCAGTTGGCCTACCAGGCGGCCACAAATGGATTTCCCTGTTCAGGTATTCTGTTGATCTTGGATGACTCTTTAAGTGTAATATTCGCTATTAACTATAGAAGCTTTTTTCTTCATTTTTTTTTTTATATCTTGTGAGTTCAGTGTAAAGCTGTGAACTTTTGATAGATGAGGATGTGGTAGAATAAACTCCAAAAGCTGGAGGAAAACCTGGATGGAATCTTGGTTCAATGCTTTCGGCAGCTAATTTTCTTTGATTAGTAACCTTTGGCAGGAATAGTTTTTATTTATTTTTTTATTTTCTGTTTTCTTTTGGCTGATCCTATAGAGGTCGGAATGGCAATCAAACTGGTCACTGAAACTTATAAGGAGATTTTGTCACTGAAGCCAATAGGCTCAAGCAGCAGGAACCTTATTCTCTCCAGTGAAACAATTATCTGACTAACCAGAAAATAGTGGTCTGATTTTGTAAATTTTTTGGTTGACAGAGTGCAATTTGTTCTTTGGAGGATGTCCATATGGTCAAGCCTGGAAAGGTTAGTACTTTCTACAGACACTATCAAGTTTATGAATACATGTGGCATATCGTGTCAAGTAGCTCAAAACCTTATACTACCACTCATTTTTCAGGTCACGGTTAGAGGATATGCCGTCTCAGGAGGTGGCCGTGGAATTGAGAGAGTAGATGTGTCAATCGATGGTGGCAAAAGCTGGGTGGAAGTATCCAGATTCCAGAAGACCGGTGTCCCATATATTGCCGATGATATGAGCAGTGACAAATGGGCATGGGTGCTCTTTGAAGTCGCAGTTGATGTTACACAGAGCACAGATATTCTTGCCAAAGCGGTACCTTATTTTTTGTTTCACTTTTGATGATTGTCAGGAATAGCAAATTGTAAGTGGTGCTTGTCATTTCCTCTTAGGTCTCAGATGCACCGACTGGTAATTAACCTCGATAGTTTATTCTTCAATATTGAGACCAAATGAAACAGCACCAAAAGCAGTTGAAATTTGGGACAAGCAGTTAGGTTTACATAACTTTTTTTACTCAGAGACTTATCTCAGTGCAGATCAGCACTACAGTCTAGAGATCGGTGAAGCCAAATAGAATAACTTTCCCTACACATAACTGCTAGTCGCTACATGCTGTTTTAGTCTTCGAGTATGTGTTCTTCTGTCCGATTATTCATAAACCAACCCGTAAATAGCTTGCATGAATACTAGAACATCAATAAGGTCTTTGACGTAGTAAGGCATAATACCTGTA